TTTTGTAATTTCCAATCATTTTTATAAAGAAATTTCCACCGTATAATTCATCAATTTCACAACAACCATACAAATGATATGTAATCAAGAAACACGTTATGTCCATTAAATAATGAAAGTAACATATTCCTCTATCTTTTTCTTTGTCGATCTAAAGTAAAAATAACCATTAGATATAGGTTAATTTGTTAACATTTTAGTTATAGTTTTTTTTTTTTTTNTTATTCATGCCAATTTTCCAACTTTGTATAGATACATTTTTGATCAAATATATTCGTTTTTTCAACAATATATTGTTATTTCAAGCATTAGACTATTATAAATGTCATTTCGCATCATTATTTTTTGAAATGTCATTATTTCAAGCATTAGACTATTATAATTATTTCAAGAAATATCATTATTTCAAGCATTAGACTAAGCTGATGAAAAATAATGATGCCAAATGACTATTATATATTTGATTATTATTTATAAACTGGACCAATAGCAAAAGTGTCATATGGTAACATTCTAAAGTCATTCACAGTTAATATATATTGTTATATTTAGATATTTTTATCTTAAAATATATTTTAGATATACTTTTAAAAAAGAAGCTGAATAAAAATAGAAAAGTTGTCTCATGTGGTCATAAATATAAGCTCATTGTAATCGCGTGAAATGAGAAAAACAAAAGCGTCAAACTTTGATAACATGCATTTGCTCTCTTTTGCATGAGCTCGAGCTCTGCTTTGAGATGGCCCTGATTTGCGGAACGTTGAAAGACGATTTTTGAAATGTAAAAGATATTGAGTTCATTTGGAAAAAAAAAAAAAAACAAGACCATAGATAGAGTTCGACACAATTGAACAATTAATAAAGAAGGTGCTGCTGTACACGTACCGGTTCGAAGGTTGGCCATCAAGATAGCCTTAGAGACATTGTACTCGTAGAGTAAGAGGTTTCCTCCAGAAAGAAAGCAGTCAAGGCAAGAACAGATTAGACCATCGAGATGGGATTGGTCTCCGCAAGTCAAACACTGGTTGGGAGGATCTGGAATTAAAGAAACGAGGAACTTGTCCAAGACGGTTCCCGTTCCTGCCTCCATACCAGGTCCATGAGTGAAATGTATGACTTTCCCATCGCCTATGTATATTCCTGAGGTTCATCAAAGATTTTATTAATATTTTTATCTATGCAATCCAAAACAGAAAAACCAAGGAATAAACTCTGAAATAACTAAGATGTATGTAACATTAAAGGTGAATGAGTGAGGATATGCAAACTATAAATTGAGAGAGAGAGATGGAACCGTGATGGGCGTAGACGTAGGCAGTACGCCATGTATATATGTGATCTCCTGCCTTCAGATCATCTCTGGAGATCTTGCATGTTGGAGAGTAGTCCCATCTTCTCGAGAAAGAAATATCCAATTTTTCTGGATTACTATTGGTTTTTTTGTCTTTGCTCTCTTCCTAGTTTGTTATGGTTGTGTTTCTAAAACCAAGATTTATAGTCAACTATGCATGTTGTTTTCTTTATTTACGTCGGAATGAAGCAAAAGTCAATGAACAGTTGTAGTAAAATAGGAGTAGACTTCATTTCATTTCAGAGTCTTTTCCCATCTTGGAGTACAACTTATCTCCCCGCACGAACTTCATAACCATTCATCATGCATAACAACAACTAGGTGACTGGCTATGAGTGCTGAGGCAAGAGAGAAACACTTGTTTGATTCTAAAACAAAAATTAGTTTCTTAAACATGTACTTGTGATCAATATCCGTTATATCATAACAACAACTAGGTGACTGGCCATGAGTGATGAAGCTTGGCTAATTAAGTCGATTTACCAGAGCAACTTTATTCTCTTAGAGCTTCTGATTTTTGTTGCATACTTTTCCTCAAGCTGTTAGTGGACTACATGCTATGAACATATTTTCTATTAACATTTCGAACACTTAACAAACTCACACCATATCGATAACTTGTGCCAAAAATTCTTTTATGTGGCGAGTTTTCATTTCTACACTTCCGGCCCAAAGACTCTATGGAACGCGAAGATGAGGTATTATTTGTCTTCTCCTTATGAGAACTGAGACTTGACTTTTTAAAATCTTGGTTATATGAAGGTAAACAAAGCTTGAGACCTTTTGTGATTCTTTTGTCTGTTATTCGATTAGAAATTTATTTCTCCACATTAGTTATGGTTGTTCTCTCCCTCTCATATTTACAATTTTAAAGACCATTGCGTTTACTTATAAGTTTGTTATGCAAAATAATTTGCAGAAATTGGCTGCACAACTTTCAGATGTTCTTGAGAACATGAGTCCTAGAGTCGAGAAGCATGTTGTGGCTCTACAAAACGTTAAGGTGATTTCATGTAATGAATGTTGGTAAATGCAAAACAGTCATCACATTAATTAGAAAAAAAACAATATTGGGAAACTACGCACACTTTTTTTTAAAACAACAGAGAATCACATCAATCGTGAGTACAATCATTACAAACCACTATGAACGGCTATAAAACACACAGCTCGGCTAAGCTATTGATGGCTCATTTTGCACTAGGAAACCAGCTCTAGATCAACCAAGGAGATGCCATCAAAGACCTTCTTCCATGGAGTTCAGCTTCATCCAAGTCTATAGAAGACATCAGGTATTTAACTGTATTTCCACTTCATAAATAGTTCAAATACAGGTTCCACAATACACACACAAAGTAAATCTCTCTAACTAAACAATTATTTAGTCATCATAATCCGAAACCGCCACTAGTCTTAGTTAACTAACTAACTACACTGCACTTGTTGTTGTCGGATCCGCCTTAAACGGACTCTCTAGTCCATAATAACCTCTATAAGGACTTAGTTCTTGATGACTTAGAAAGCGGCATGAGGGTATCTTCAGATAGAGGTGACTGGACCTTGGACAACAAACAAAGTGAAGACGAAGAAAAAGAGAAAAAGGGAGAGGATATTCGAACCAGATTGCGCAAACAGGTTAGCCTTCTCTTGCATTTGCCCGAGGCAAGAGGCTCTCGACAGGCACCTTTGCAGCATCCTTTCTCACACCAATGTCCTTATAGAGACGGATAACACTTCCGACGCCCCACACATCAAAACCACTAATCATGTTTGTAGCGATCGAAGTTGCACTGACCGAACTAGCCTGACCGGTCCTTCCCAACAGATAGTTTTCACCGACCAACAAACTAGTTTTACAATATATTGCAAAATCTTCACAATTGTTCTCGAAACCACATTTCGATTAGTTAACGGAGTACTAGTGAAAATACTAGTCCATTTCGATTAGTAGTTCACATAATCTAGTAGTAACAGTTTATTTGATCAATTCGCATATATAACAAATCCAAATTTTTCACATCCGACTCCTAGTTGAACCCATTTTCTTCGCAATCTCCCTAAGCACAAACTTCATAACTTTCCCGGTCGATGTCTTAGGCAACTCATCCCTAAACGACACCGTTTTAGGGACCATATACCTTGGCATCTTCTCCTTACAATATTCAATCAACTCTACCTCCGACGGTTTCCTACTCAACCCATCTTTCAAACTCACGAAAGCACACGGAGTCTCTCCCCAAAACTCGTCCGGTCTCGCCACCACCGCCACTTCATTCACCGCCGGATTCGTATACAAAACAGCTTCAACCTCCACACTACTCACGTTTTCACCTCCCGTAATAATCACATCTTTCGACCTATCTTTTATCTCTAAATACCCATCCGAGTGAATCACACCAACATCTCCGGTATAAAACCACCCCTTCTTCAAAGCTTTCTCTGTTCCGACCGGATCTTTCAAGTAACCGAGCATGACCGAGCTACCTCTCATCACGATCTCTCCGACCGTTTCTCCGTTCCTCTCGACACTCCGACCCGAAACAGGATCCACCACGTCGATTTCGGTAAACCCGACTGTTCTCACTCCTTGCCTTGCTTTCAACCTCGCACGATCGCTCGCCGGTAAACGATTCCACTGCGGCTTCCACGCGCAGGAGACGTTTAAACCGGCGGTTTCGGTTAACCCGTAACCGTGACTGATGTTGAAACCGATCGATTCGGCGCGGTGGAGCACGGCGGCTGGAGGTGGAGCACCGGCGGTTAAGATGTTAACCGGACGATCAAGAGGGTTGGATTCTTGAGTCGCAGATAACATATTGAGAACCACCGGAGCTCCACATAGGTGTGTAACGCCGTGATGACGGATCAAACGGTAGATAAGCGGCGCGTCGAATTTACGCAAACAGACATTAGTTCCTCCGACGGCAGCTATTCCCCATGGATAACTCCAACCGTTAGCGTGAAATATCGGTAGGGTCCACAAGTAAACCGGATTTTTCGGTACGGTCCAATCGATTAACGAATCAATTGACATGACGAATATTCCTCTGTGGCAGTGAACCACTCCTTTAGGAGCAGAGGTCGTACCGGAAGTGTAGTTTAGCAC